GCACTGGAGGACTATGTAAACAGGGACCTTACCCGATAACGAGCACATGATTACCCCAAAACCCAAACCCCAAACCCAAACCCTGTCAAAGGTCTCTTTAAGTCGTAGATAATCAACAATTTCAGCTTTGTTTGGATTCGATTTACTACAAGACTTGCATAAAAGTCTTTAATCGTTTGATAACTTAGTATCTAGAATGACATATTCTATTGGTTGTTTATGATGTTTGCATAAAAATTCATTTTCTATTACTTTTGGTTGTAAAAATTACATTAAATTAATTATTAAATATTTAATTTACATTAATATATTTTTATGATTGATTGTAATCTCCATTTATACATCTACACAAATATAAATCATTAATTGAATTGGTATTTTGAGAGTATTAAGATTGTTTTTATTAGTATTTAAGATTAATTATATTTATTATATTAAGATTATTTTTATTTATTTCTTAAGAGATTATTTATATTTATTTTATTAAGATTATTTTTATATTATCATTTTTAGCCCGCTAAAAATAAACGTTCAATATCTATGTATAAAATTAAAAACTCATAATTAATTAGGCAATATTATAAATACAATGAATAAATATGAGACACAACATCAATCCGATGCCTTAGTAAACAAAAGATTAAATGGGATTCCTTTTTAGAGCCTTCCTTTTACAGATATTTTAATTCATTAATAGCAAGTCTAAATTTGAGAATAACTCTTAAACTAATAAATGCATTTAAAATCAAATAATGTATTTCTAATTAATTTTCTTCTTAACATCAATTTCCTTTTAACGTATTCTTTTGCTCTTGAAGGGTTGATGGAATCTTTCAAAAAGAATCTGCCCTCAAACCTTTGCTAATAATCATTTTAGGATCAAAAGATTACTTATGATCAAGATTTAATATCATAATACTATAATTTAACAACATCTTTGCTATATTCTTTCTTGTTAAGTATCATATTCTATTACATAAACAATTTAAATATCTTAATGATTATTAATACTTTATATAATAACTAATTTTCACTGATTTCACTATCTAATTATTATCTGTGTAACCTGTTGTTATACTTTTATCTTTTTCAAAATCATGGCAAAATTCTACTTAAAAGATTTGTCAATGGGGTCTATTCTTTTCAACAAAAATAGCAAACGTAAGTTTAGGAACCAATTAGACGGACCCCTATTGTACTTGGAACTGTCGTTTTCTTTAGAAAAGACGTAGATATGTAGGCTTTACCAAACCCATTTATAAGAATTAATTCTTTGTTAGAAGAAATGATTTGCATTATTAACAAATTTTGCTAAATTTAATAATTCATCACTGAGTCAAAAGTAATAATGGGCTATCTCTGCCTTAGAATTATTGATGAATTCTTATGATTATTCTAACAGAACTTGAGACTTTTCTGATCAAATTATATTCCAAAAATGATTAGATTATAAATATATAAATTCAAAATATTTTAAATAAAACTAATCAAATGGAAACAAACATAATGAAAAAATGAAATTGGAAAAACAATTGGATTCAACAAATTAAAAAATAATGATAGATTATTAATAATCATACTACTGTAAAAATCGACTTTTATTTTCTTATAATTTAGTCCTATTTAATTCCAACACATTGTTTACATTACGATATATACTTATGTAATTGTTGATAAATATCAATAGCTAAAGTGACAATGAGAATAATTGGGAAACCACCTACATTAATCCAACCTAAAACATCAGCTGAGTCTTTGTTTGAATTAAATTTGATAATATCGTAAACAGAAAAGATATTGCATTAATCATAATCATAATTTTCTGTGAAGAATATTTTCATATTTTCGAAATTAT